ACCTGGTAATAGTACAAATGAAGTTGGAACTCAAGCTTATAGATCCCAAGTTGTATTGTTTCAGTCACTGGCCAGAAGTTTCTAACAGAAAAGGAAGAGATTGCCTTTAGCTGAGTGTGTATGCTGCACACGCAGGGTAGGGCAGTCAGGGAAAGTCTCTTAAAGGAGACTTAGACAGGGACTCCAAAGTCTAATACCCTTATTCTGTAAATACTCAAATGAGTACCTACTATATGCTCTGTTCCAGGTGCCAGAGACAAAAGTGAACGAAGTCTTGCATTTGTGGACATGCATGGCAGGAATAAGGAAAAGACAGAAATCGTCAGTCTTAAATACTAAGCTTCCTTTACCTTCAGAATTGCTCTGTTCTTCCCGCGCCAGGTCTCTCTCCCAGACGCAAATATTCAAGCTTCTGAAACGGAATGGAAAGCCCTGGCTTACAACATACCCTGTTGGGAGAAAGGATGTAGTTGGTGGTGGAGTGTGTCTTAGCACTTGCCAAGCGCGCACACATACACGCACACTACTCCTATTCTGAAAGTTCTTCCTAAACTCTACCCAGCATTTCTTCCTGCTTTAACAGATTTTCCCACTCACTATTTTCCTCGCAGTGCTAACCCGCCGGCTGGCAGCGGCTGCCCCTTTAAGGTTACCTTCTTCCCCCCACGTGCCGTCTGGTTGGGCTGGCGACGCTGACGCACGCGTGACGTCAATGGCAGCTGGCGGAGTCCGGGCACGAGGAGCAAAGTTGGAATGGGGGTGGGGAAGCCGGGAAAGAAGGTGGGTTATTTGCATTTAAAGGAGCCACTCCCGAGTTAGCCTCTCAGGGCTTTAAAGAAATTTGTGTTCGGCAAACTTTCTGTCCTGGGCTACAGAAAAAGGCGTGGTGCAGCTGAAGTCGATTGTAAGTCTAGTATGCGCTGTCAATTATGTCCTTCCGCCAGAGAGAGGGAAATAGTCCGCTGGTGCCCAAGCTGGGAGCACGTGACTGGGAGGGGGCAGTGGGGGGGGGAGAGGAGGAGGGAGGAGCTGTGGAGACGACTGTAACGCTGCTTTTCAGCTGCCCCCACCCCCACATCCTGCCCACCCTACTGCAGCTGCCACCACATCCTGCCCAGCTTGGGGCAGAGAGCTCAAGGGGGGGGGATGCACTGACCAAGGACCAGCCTTTGGCACCCTCTCTCAGTCCCCTGAGCTCCGGGGTGGGGCCTCTGCTCTTTGCCCCAGGTCTGGCCCCAGGCACTCTGGCTCCGAGTTGGGTCATGCTCTGCCAGTCCACCCTTGGACGCGCTCTGCCTGATTCTGCCCCTCACCCCCAACCTTGGCCTGAAGTGGAGCTTGTAGTTGTCCCAGATCAAACCCCCATCCATGTATGGGCTAGCACAATTCTCCATAGACATATAGAAGTGTTCAATAAAGTTTTTATAATCACAACGCAGCTGCACATGCACGCTCGCGCTTGAGCGCTCACGGTTGCGCGCGCGCTCGCGCGCGCGTATACACACACACACACACACACACACACGCACGCACACACACGCACGCATACGCGCAGAGATTTCTGCAACACATTTGCTGAGCTCTTTCCGGTCTAGCCCTGAAGAACCTTGAAGACCGAGGTTGAGTCAGTTTGCTGCCCTCTAGGAGCTCAGACTCTGGTCAGGAAGAGTAAACTGAAAACCACAATGTCAGTACACTAACTGTGCTGTGTACTGAGATGATCAACAGAATGGAGTGTGCTTAGGATCAGGCACAGGGTGCCAACCAAGTCCATACAGAATGTGTGCACTGAACTATGGTACAGCTGCCAATGGGTACAGCTCCCTTTATGAGCAAGGGAGCAGATGTACTGAGAGACTTTGGCCTTTGCTGGGATCACTGAAACACTGGAGGATAGAAGGGATGAAGAAGGTGGTGACAGGGGGGTTGGAGATTGTCCAGATGGCAGTGGGGCAGGTTAAGGGAGGCCATGCAGTAGCTCCCTGGATTATGAAACAGCAGGTAGAGAACCGGTTGGGGGGGGGGGTGTCTAGATAAGGAAGAACTTTCCAAATGAAGTTGGATTAAGGAAGTTTAGGAAGGGGCAAATAAAAGCAGCATAGATTGCCTTCAGCCATACAAACTTTACCGTATTACAGAGGTGGACTTTAGTGAACACCAGCTTCTGGATCCTAGGGAATTTTATAGCAACTTTGGGCTTTTAAGTGACTTTTCTCTAGATGGATAGGCAGTCAGAAGTAAAGGAAGAAAATGAAACCCAGGGGTCTGAGCCTACTCAGTCCTTTTAAACCCAGAGGATTCTGGTATGAGAAATCTGGGGACCAGGAGACAAAAGATGTAGTGAGTCACTTTCAGGAACTCATTTCCATCTAACGTCTAGCAACATTACTCCCTAGATCCTTTTAGTCCTCCATGAAATCAAGACTTCATGATGTTTATTACTTTTCCTCTTCATGCAGCTTTCTCTGTATTCCAAATTTTGTGCCATGTTTAGCATCAGCACCTCCTCTGCTGTCTAGTGGAGCTACCACAACAGCATGTCAGGATCCAGGGCACTCCTTCAACTCAGCCTATGAACTTTTCGCTCCACTCCCTTTTCCCTCAGGTTTCGGGCCCTTTAATAACCTCCCCAGGTGATTTACCTTCCTTCCTCATTCCTTTGTGTACAGTACCCAACATTCCAAGGCTGGGAGGACAGCCAGCCAATCAGAACCCTAGCAGGCCTGCTCTAATCGGGAGATTGGATGGAGCTGTGGTTGGCGGGAGGCTCGTGCCATAATGTACTGGAGGATGGGGAGGGGGTTTCTGGGACTCAACCCTGGGAAAGAATTTGTTCTGGGGCTGCTTGTATTTTTGGAGAGAACCCTTCAAATAGAGCAGGGGCCAGAGGGTCTACTAACTTGGAGAATCTCCCAACCGGAGGCAGGTTGAGAACTTAGCTGTCTCAGTCTCTCGGGGGCTAGGCTCTCCCTTGCCCATTCTGTCCTCCCCCCCATGATCTGGGACCCAAGGTCTGAAGGCTGTGTTCCCAAGCCTGTTCCTAAGAAGTCTTTTCCAGCAGCCTTGGATGTCTCAGTCTCAACATTCTGCTTTCCCGACGTCGGAAACAGCCGGAAAATAAACACCCTGATGACTAAACGGTTTCTCCAGCTAGAGCCTGGGGAAGCACTAAAAATAGAGGCCACAAGTGAGGGGAGGTTCCCCATTGGTGGGGGCACTTTCCCATCCTGCGACTGCCACAGCCTCAACTCTTGCACAAAGCTCTGGTTCTCCAAGTCCTTGGGGAAGGAATAAATGGGCTCCTTCTGACTACCCTGAAGTCTTTGGGGCAAGCTAGCCCAGCCTGGCAGGGAGCCCTGATATCCTCTGCTGTTGGCCCATCTCCCATAGCAATGAGGAACTGAGAAGTTGAATTTGGGGACAAAGTGGGACACTAAAATTAAGGCTTCCTGAAAGGGGCCAGGTAGAAGTGCTAGAAACTGAGGCCAAGAAAATAGGAGCCTGTTGGCTTCCTGTCCAAAGAAATACAACATATCTGTAGAACAATCTGTGGAACTTGCCTCCCTCTGGCAAGGCCTAGGGGTCTTTTCAGACTAACCATCAGTCCCATGGTCTAAAGTCAAGTAACGCGGCAAGATGATGCACTGTACCAAGCTGTACTAAGTGGTCCAATTATATGTGCTAACTTAACCTTCACACCACATTTATGAGTTAGGGACTATTATCACCATTCCCATTTTACCCACAAGGATCAAGAGGTGAAGGAAAGTTAAATATGCCTGGGCTCACAGTTCCAGTAAGTGGTGGGGTTTGCACTTGAACCTAGGTGTCTAAGTGACACATGATCAGGGTTCCTAAGCACACTGCTATGCTTCTCTTTCTGCATATGTTGGTCTCTTTAGCACTAAACTAGAATTGAGTCTTTGTCTGGAAAATTAGGTCTTAAACGATAGAAATCAGGGTGTGTGAAGAACTGAGCAGCCTTCTGTTCTTCAATATTCTTTAAGATCTAAGCCAGATTCAAAGGTTTCCCCAAGCTCCAGGTAAAAAGCAGCAGGATTTGTAAGCATCAGGGTTGCTGGTCAGTAAGCCTGACGAGCCAGTTGTAGAAGACCAGGACACCCACACTCGTATGTAAGGCATTTAACATTGGCAGCGACCTGAGGCAACTAGGAATTTTGAAAAAACATTGTTTTAAAAGCCCTGCTTCTTTAATAAGATGCTTCTGTTGTTTCCTGTGAAGCGGTGTGTGTAGGGAGAGGGATAGGATCCCGCCCCTTTAAGTTGCCCCCACCGCCTAGGTGCACTGGGGCCCACAGCGCTGAAGATTAGGTCACCCTAGAACGATGAGCTGTCGCTTTAAATTGCTGGGCGTCTGCCCAGCCGAGCCTAGGAGGGAATGGGCTGTCACCGGTAGAGGCAGCGACAGAACTCCCCAGGTAGCACCTCCCTCCCAGAAAAAACGTGGTCTCTTAAGTGGAGCTTTGTCACACTCTCAAGTGAGGGAGACGCACCCTGTTCGCCACTTACAGTCTTCCCTGCATCCATCTACTTAGACCCCCCACCTCCCAACTCTCTCGGACAGGGGCAGGCGCGGCGCCAGGTCGCATGCGTGTAGCCGCCAGTCTTCCCGGGAAGACCTCCAGGAGCGCGGGGCTGAAGTGCCGGGCCGTCTGGCCAGCTCCTAGAGCCCTGCAGGGGCCGGCCTTTCCAGAGAAGATCTCTAGGTCTCTCCTCACCACCCTCCCTCCCTGCAGGCGGAGGGATCCGCCGCTCCGGGCGCGCCGCGGAAGAAAACGGGAGGCTGCGGGAGGGGTGGGGGCCGGCCCGCCTCAGCTGCCCGGGGAAGCAAGAGGCGGGGCCGCAGTTTGGGTCCGCCCCCGCTCGGGTGCCTCCCCTCCGCCCCCATACCTCATTCCCATTGGCGGCTCCTCTTGTCCATTGCCCTGACGCCCTGCCCCTCAAGCTAGGCTGAGCTGTGCCTACGTCGGCCTCGACTCCCGGGGGCTGGAGGAGTTACCTTTGGAGCCCGAAAGGAGGAAGGAAGCAAAATATCAACAACAGTCGGAGCAACTCGGGCGCCCTGCCTCGGTCTCCCGCTCATCCAGCGCCCGTCCGCCTGCCCCCGCACCCAAGACGGGGGCCCGGACCCCCGGCGCCGCCCAGGGCCCAGGCGGACGTTGGCCTTGTCTGTGATTTCCCCTCTCGGTGCCCGGGTTTCTAGGGGTTGAAGAGCAGCCGGACCCAGGACCAGGGCCACCTGCTCCCTGCCGTGACACCCCATTGCCCTCTGCCGGGCTGGTGAGTAGAAGAAAAATAGGGCGCCTGCCGCTTTAAGAGGCCCCCTCCCCCACCCGTCGTGGGGCCGGGGTGGAGGGGTCTAGACTGTCCCCCGCCGTGGAATGGGCAGCCCGGGCTGAAACTCGCGGCGGGGCGGAAAATCGCGAGGGACTGTGTGTGGGGAGTCGCGGTGGGGTCCTGGCGGGGCTGCAGGTCTCTGGGGCTTACATGCTCTGGGTGGGGCGGCTGGTAGGCTGGGGGCGCGCCGGCTGCGGGCGCCCGGGGTGACGACGGCCTCAGAACGCGCGGGGCAGGGGCGCCGTCCGCGAAGGGGGTCTCCGGTGACAACCAGAGCACTGACATTTTAACAGCCGGTCCTCCCCCATCTCTTCTCGACGCCTGTCCCCTCCTCCTTGGCCCGAAATGGTGCAGAAGGGGGCCTGGGAGGGCGGCGGACGGGTGGGGGCAGGGGCAGCCGCAGCTGTTTGGGAAGCGGGGGAAGGAGGGGGATGTTGTTCAGATGACACCCGGGTAGTGGGTTGGGGTGTGAGCGCGTGTGTCTCAGGGCCGTGCTTTCTCGGTGCCTGCGGAGTTAGGACGCGGAGTAGGACACGCAAGACCCTCCTCGAGATCTCCTAGCCCGCTTCTGAGAGCTTTCATCAGGGTTGTCAGCAACCTCAGCTGGAGAGTTGCCCCCTCCCCGCTGGAAGTTTGCAGCTGTCCAACATCTGGGCAGGAGTTCTTCAGTCCTTTCCCCACCTAAGACAAGCTAGCCTGGGAATGATCCTTGGGGGGTCCCTCAGGAAGAGGGCCAAGCGGACTAAGGTGCACTCAGTCTCTCATCATAATGTCAGCCCTCTTCTCATCTGGTTCGTAGAGACAGGGAAAGAAGCCCGTATCTCTGGAAATTCATGCTGACCTCTTGCACTCTTCCAGGTCCCTCAGAAGAGGTGGGCTCCTAGGTAGGGGCACACGTGGGACTGGGTTATCCTGTGCCTGTCCTTCTGTCTTCCTTACCTCATGCATTGTTGGTGAGCTGGGGGAGGGCACGGAAGGCAGATTCTGAATCCTTGCGCCCAGCTGCCCCCTCCCCCATTTGAGTTGAGAAGCCTGGTTTCTTTGGGCTGGGGAGATGGCTTGTATTCCCCACCCCCATCCCCTCAGTGGGTCTCCATGGCAATTGAGGGACCAGTCTGAATTATGGGAAGTTTGCCGTCTGGGCTGGTGACCTTGGGCTGCTCAGCCCTGGAGATAGGGGAGCTTGGGCCAGAGTGAGATTAGGTGCAGTGGTGTTAGAGAACTGTTCCCTCCTAGGCCCCTCCAAGCCCCTAGCAGGGAAGTCTCAGTAGCTGAGGGGAGTATTGAAAAGGAGTCTGTCTATTCATAGATGTCCACTCACTTGTGGCCATGGGGTCACACTGGCTCCAGGACTTGCCTGGCTGTCCTAGCGCCCATGGCCTGCCTGGGAATGAATTTCCTTCCTGTGGTTTCTCAGTGTGTTGGCAGGAGGTGGGGGTGGGGTGGGATCAGTGTAGGAGTGGCTGAGTACCTTTTCACATGGGGTAACTGGGGAACATTGGAGCTTGTATGTAGCTCTTTTTACACTTGCCACAGGACCAGCATTGGGCCCTTGAATCTCTATGGTGGTATTGTAAGTCCCCTGTTTCCTATCATAGCTTTGTGTGTTTGTGTGTGTGTGTGTGTGTGTGTGTGTGTGTGTGCACATTTGTAAGGAGTTTTTCTGGGTTAGGGAGTTTTCACTCACACTACTGTTATGACCAGAGAGGTTGAGCTTTTTCCTGACTTCACCCAGCAAATCCATGTCAGAGCATTAATTTTTCTGTTCTTTTGGGCCTGCTGCATAGTATAGAGAAGCTCTAGGAAGGAAGACATACAAGCCATGCTATCAGAGGCCTTGGTCCAAGGAGAGACCCAGACAGTGAGCATGACAGCCCCTTTGTTGGGGGAAGGGAATGGGGGATTGGGCCAGATTTCCTGTCGGTTGTACCCAGTGCTTGAAGCTGAGTGGTGAAGGATTTGGAGTGGTAGCAGGTGCTCCCCATTGTCCATTCTACTCTGTGCCTGGTAGCCCTGGGCTTGAGGGCCTAGGCTTCACAGATATGCCCTTCTTGGCTCCTGGCTCTTCTCATAGACTGGAAGATGTGATAGTGTTTCTGACTGCTGTTATATAATCTCTTTCCAACAGAGCCTTTTTTTTTTTTTTTTTTTTTAATCTTTCCTGGGAGGTGTGATGGGGAGGAGAAGGCAGAGAGCAGTTTGCTAGGTGGGGGGGCTGGAGGAGCAGCAGCATAACGTCCGGGGTGCCCTGACCCTTAAGGGTCCTGGGGAGCCAAGGTCTTGGGGTTAGGCCATTATTGATTGTGGCCCAGACCCTCCCACTCTCACTCATCTGATCCTGTCCTGGGAAGGGGCTTCTGCCCTGGATATCTCTGACCCTCTTGCTGCAGAGAGGCCTGGACCTCTGCTCATCCTGCCAGTTTTCTCTTCCTGGTCAGCTGGGCCCTCTGCCCTCCTCCCTGACTGGCACTAGGTCTACAATCCTAGTGCTTGTCTTGGCCTGATGTGGGCCTCTGGTGGATATTTTGCTACCTACCTGTGAGCCTCTCTTGGCAGAAGAGGATGTGCAGATAAGTGGTAGGCCCAGCATTTCTTAGCTGCATTTGAGCCTGCTTCTCAGCCCCTCTGGGCCACACTGGAGGACTTCATGGAGAGAAGGTGTTGGTGGGGTGGGGTATCCTGTTAGACAGTTGTGGTTGCTTTTCACTCAGGTTCTGAAGTAGTGCAGTATCCCATGCAGCCCTAGAACCTGTTGTCATCAAGGGTCACATTCTGAGTCTGTGGCACCATGGTGAAGTTCTCTTTACCCCTTGTGGCCATGGCTGGCCCAGGAGCTCTGAGACCAACTGGTTTGAAGCAATCACCTCCCTTTTACAGGGAAGAAGGAAGGAGGAGATTGTGGCGGGGCTAGCACAGCCTCAGCATCACTGTAATTGCTGGTGGCTTTTATGAGCCTGTCATGGGACCGGAGTCCGGCCAACCTTCTGTCCTTCTGTCCCAGTTTGGTGACTTACTCATGGCAGGGAGAGGGTGGTGTTAGATGCCAAGAGTTCTGTTCTAGAAGCTGGGCAGCTGGTTGTGTTGTGGTAGATGTTGCCTTGTCTGTCCACAATGACAACAGGCTGGATGAAGCTTAGACTTTAGAAAGAACTTCCCAGTGCAGCTCCTTAGGAGGCTAAGAAAGGAGGATTGCAAATTCAAGGCCAGTCTGGGTAACATAGTAAGACCCTATCTCAGATTAAAAAAAAAGAATGAATGAATGATTCGCCAAACATGCACAGAGTCGTAGTTTCAATTGCTAGTACTGTGGGAGTGGGGAGTGGGGGAACTTTCCCAGTAGAGCTGGGTTAAGGAGAGAAAGATAGCCCTTAACAAAAGAGGGGATCTCAAAGCACTTTCTTTCCAGTACTCTGCTGAAAGGTCTTGACCTTTGGCCTGGTGGAGTTGGTGCTGTTTGGTTCCTAGAATATTTATTTTCCTTTCTCTCCCCCTGCTTAGGACAGACAGCATTGTGAAGAGAGTTTGTCCTGGAGCTGGGAGGGCTGGTTTCTGGACTGTGCTCCCCAGCAGGACTAGGTGGGGGTCATGCAGACTGGCAGGCCCAGGTGCACCTGGCATGCCCACGGCGTTTAGTGGCATGCATGCATGAAGGTGTGGGGCACATACTTGGGTGTGTAGACACCCACAGAGCAGCTGCCACCGTGTTGTGGGGTAGGGGTGAGCAAATGGCAAAGATGATTAAAGGATTGGAGAGTGAGGATGGGGTGACAAACCAGAGGCAAGGAGGAAAAGGAAAAGAACTCTGAAGTGAGTGGCATTGGCTGGAGCAAGAGGGACTCAGGTTAGATCACAGACGGGTAGGCAGGGCCTTGTCTGCAAAGTAAAGAGTGTGGCTTCTGAGTTCAGGAGCTCTGGCTGACTTCTGTCCCCCACTGCCGCTCCTCTGTGGTCCCTGAAGACTGGCTGTATGTCCTTGGGTAAGTCACCTCGCAGGGCCTCAGCTTTCCAGGTGTCCAGGCACTCAGTGAGTGCCTGAGTGTTTGGTGGTTTGTCCATGGTCTCTGCTGCCCTCCTCACCCTGATGAGTGAGGCCAGCCTGGGGGCAGGACTGCATTTGAGCCCTCAGGCACTTAGGCACAGAACCTCAGCCTGGGTGATTCCAAGTCCTTTTTACCTGATTTTTTCCTTTTCCTGGGGCCACAGCAGTGCCCTGGAGAGCCACAGCAGGCTTCTGGCCAGCACTGGCAGTTAAAGGCAGTGGGACAGGCGTATGTGTTCACTGATTCTTCATTAGGGCCTTGGTGCCTGCTATCTGGCCATCCTCCTTTCTGCTTGGGCTAGGAGGGAGGGACTTGTCTCAGGCTCTTGCCTGTGGCTGGCCACACCCTGGCGGGACCATATTTACTCATTTAAACGTGCTCTCCCAGGAGGCCCTGTGCCTGAGACCTGGTTACTGGCCTGGGCTTGGTGCCCCTGGCTGGGTGCTCTGGGCCACTACCCATGAGGTAGGCACACAGGCAGGTGTCAGACAAAGAACCTTCCCCTCAGGGATGATCCCACTTGTCCAATTCTCCAGTGTGCAAAGTGTGGACCCCAAGACTGAGAACTCTGGGGCACCTTGGAGATGGAGGCAAGAAGCCCCATTTGTTGCATGCCACACTATGATAGGCACCATGACCTGTGAATGGAGTTGGTCTACACAGCTAATTTTTTTTTTTTGTCTTTTTTGTTTTTTATTGGTACCAGGGATCGAACTCACGACTGCCTGCTTGCAAGACAGGCACTTATGCCACTGAGCTAAATCCCCAGCCCCACAGCTAATTTTTTTTTATAATTGGGGAAACTGAATCTCAGATTTAAATGACTTATTTAAACTGTTCCAGTTTGAGGCGTTAAGAGTTTTTATTTTTTTAATTAAAAGTTTATTATTATTAATATTATTA